TATGATTTTGATGTTGTTCACCGCCTAGGGAGTTCTGTGGCTGATGCTAATGCCCTTTCTCGAGCTCCTCTTCCTTCTTCACTCTCTTTTTATGTTTTTGAGGAGCCTGTCGTTCCAGCATTTATGGATTTTCTAGACGAGGATTCTGTGCCGTCGGCAGTTGCTGTACTTGATGTTCAGTGTCCACAAGGTGCAGAGCAAGATCTACCTTCGCTTGATGAGGTTCGCGAGGCTCAAAAGATTGAGCCATGGATTCGAAGGCTTCGAGATGGGTTTGAGAATCCTGCATCACTTGCTGATGACTTGCCTTTCTGGCATTTACATTCTCAATGTCGTCTTGAAGATGGCCTTCTTTATTTTGTGGGGACAGATCCTGATGATCATTTACGGCTGGTGGTACCTTCTATCTTTATTCCGCGATTTCTCCATGCCTACCATGATTCTCCTGTTCTAGGTGGGCATATGGGACATCATCGTATAATCAAGAAGCTATGCAGGTCTTTCTATTGGCTGGAGATGCAACGTGATATTATCCGGTATGTGCGTAGCTGCGTTTGGTGCCAAGCTCGTAATACTCCCCCTTGGGCTGCAGAAGGACGGTTGGAATCCATTGCAGTTTCCCGTCCGTTTGAGTTGGTGGCATTTGATCTTTTCCACGATCGACTGCTGGCAATGAGTATGTTATTATTGCTTCTGACTATTTGACTCGTTGGGTGGAAGCTAGTGCTCTTGCTAGCGCCTTTGCAACTGCTGTTGGATACTTCCTCCTCAATCGAGTGGCGTTCCAGCATTCTTGTCCAGAGCGGATTCTTTCGGATAATAGTCCCGCATTTATGGCTGAGGCATTTCATGTTTTGACGTCTCAATTGGGGATTCGCCACACTTTTACGAGTGCTTATCATCCACAATCAGACGGTCTGGTGGAACGGCTCATTCAGACGTTCAAGGGGATGATTGCGAAGTATGTGAACTTTTGGCATTCGGATTGGGATGGTTATTTGCCGTCTCTTCGGTATGCATATGTCACTAGGGTGCAGAGTTCTGTTGGTGCTTCACCATATAAACTCTTATATGGTCATGATCCAATATTACCAACGGAGTTCGGTTTACCTTTGCGATTGCCACGAGCTGTAGATGCTAGGTCATGGGATCAATATTTGACAAGCATTCTTCCACTTGTCTAAGCAGAGTCTGCCGAACACTTAGGCCACATACAAGTGGGACAACAACGGTGCTACAACTCCCATCATCGTCCACCTGCAGAGTACAAAGTGGATGATTTGGTGTTAGTTCTTACGGTACGTGGTTTATCTAAGGGGCTTCTTGCACAGTGGAAAGGACCGTATCAGGTGTTGCGGCAAATTGGACCACAAGTTTATAAGGTTTGGCATGACGTCCAACAGGCCAATCCTCCAGAGATTGTGCATGTGCAGCGGTTGAAATGCTTCATACAAAGGGATCAAGAGCAATTAATACCATCTACAGATCCGCTGATGCCTCCTCCTAATGTTCCTTCAGATGCTGACTCGTTTACAAGAGAACCCTAATGGTCTTCCATTATTCCGAGAGGAGGGGATGATGTGAGGGCCAAGTATATGGCTACAATGCCGTATACTAATATTAGCATAGTGGGATTTTGGTAGCTGTCGGATTGGTTTTAATCCGAACCGCTCACTCTTGTATATAAATTAGGGTTTTTGGGCTAATTGATATGCTTTCCATATTCCATGCACTCACAAAGTAATATTAATTTTGGAAATTATAGAAATTTTATTAAATATATGGGCCAGTTAATTATTATTCACAGGACTAAAACATGTTAGATTTTGTATTTCTATAAATTCTGAAGAAAAACAGCTTAGGAAGTTAACGTTTTTAAGTCCCAAGGGTAAGGAAAATGTGTCACAGCCTCAGTATGTGGTACCAAAAAGCTGCGGTACACAAACCTGTCAAGATTAAGCTTGTTAGTAGGTCACAAGTAACTGTCCACATGAAGTTACACTCGTATAGGTGGTCTTGAAATTATCACATAGAACTGTAAATCCTCATTGCTTGTATTGATTATCTGTGCATTTGAAAGACGACTGAGCCAAAGGAAAAGATTTTTGGGTGCTCACAAACCTGGTGAACTGAATTTACAGGAATTGTCATAGTGCTGTTTCCAGAGATATGGAACTGGACGACTTCACCAGGATACTCCAATCCCGGTTCTGCCAGAAACAAAGTCCCTTTCCCCTTGAGCACCAAAAATATCTCTTCACAGTCATGACGGTGAATTGGGGTGCCAGATCCAGGAGCAAAAGTTTGCAGCCAAACCTCCAACTGGTGTTCACAGAAGGGAACGAAAAGAATGCTGCGAACCAGGAGCATAAAAATCCGAGACCTCTTTCATGCCGTGATGAACAGCCCCAGCTACAGTCATGTGAGACAATCCCGGACGACCATAGCTGTCTTGCGGAATATCAGAGAGGTTCCTGACTACTAAAATCCCTGAAACAAAACACAAGCTTTTTGTAAATCACTGCTAGAGATACCTGAAGCTCTTGAGAGCGCCGCAAAGGCCAGCACCCAAACCAGCAAGACGCTCCTCATCGAAGAAGCCCTAACTAGATTCTTTCATAACCGGGGTTTAAGATTTTCGACCTTTTATGCAAATATAATGCTCCAAAATAACCTTCAAAATACATAAAATGTGCACAATACAGTCTAAGTTATTTGCAGCTATTTTGTTCACCTTGACCAGCAGCAAAGCATTGCATATCCCAGGGTACAGGAAAATGAACAGCCTCAGCATGTGGTATAGAGAAGCTCTGATAAACAAACCTGGAGCGGAGCAACAGATTTGTTGTGCTACTTTCTTGATGCAATTGAAATATCCAACTTACACTCTAACAGGAGGTCTTGACATTACCGCCGAAAGCTGCACATCCTCGTCCCCTGTGTTGATAATCTGTGCATAGGAATGCATGCTGAATCGAATGGTGATTTTCCCATTACACAGACCTGGTGGACTGCATTTCGAGGAACCGCTATGGTGCTGTTTTGTGAGAACTGGAACTGGGTGGTTTCACCCGGATGCTCCAATCCTGGTTCTGCCAAGAGCAAAGTTCCGGTCCCTCTGAGCACCAAGAGGACTTCTTCGCAGTCGTGGCGGTGAATTGGAGTGCCAGATCCTGGAGCAAAAGTCTGGAGCCAAACTTCTATCTGATAGGAAAGAAGATGAAAATGTGAGCTATTGTGTGGTTTTTCAGGACCTCTTTCATGCCGTGGTGAACCGCTCCGGCCACAGTGATGTGGGAAATTCCAGAAAGGCCGTAATTTCCTTCGGAAATATCAGAGAGGTTCCTAACAACTGGAAGAGAGAAAAATAAGAGAGAAAGCAAACCAAGAGTTCTGAAATGAAATACCTGAAGAAGAGGGTCTTGAAAAAAGCGTAACGAAGAGAAGCATCCAAACCAAAACACTCTCCATCCGAACCCACATACCCTAAAACAGAAATAAAACTCAACACTTTTTGTTTGTAACTAAAGTGAATACATGCTATTAAAGTTAACCATATTATGATAAGAAATTCATAGAATGTTCCGTCGATCTTTTATCTTTTTCGCGGAGCCGCTGTCACAAACTTAAATTTCGCCCTTACAAAGTCACAGAGAAAACAAAAATCTGAAAATTAAAGAAGTCCGTCAACCCACTGCAGATGCCACTGGCTCCACTCCACATCTGAATCATCTTTTTTTGATGAATCACGAAAGCTACCGTAGCATTCAAGCGTCCCGTGGAATCACGAGCAATGTGCCAGTGATCCATCAAAATCAAGCCTCCGCTTTAGCTTGACCAGATCGAGATATGGCAGCAAGAAACTCTCTGGAAGTTGACGAGACGCGAGAATTTTAGCTGCGAAAACACGGATGATCAGCATGGAGGATTTAGTGCGCTGATGCTGGCGGTGAGAATTTCTGTTGGCGCTGGCGAAGAATACAAGCTCTTGTCAGCTTAAAACTCTCTCGCCAGGGAAAGTTTTCGCATTTGATGCAAGCCAAGCGCGAGAGACCCACCAGCCTTGAAATCGTGTCAGCTGACAACCCGGTCGTGGATCATGCTTGGCTCGCACAATTCTCTCGGCCGCTTGCCAGAGTCGATCGTTCATAAACAAACCGTGAAGTTGGATCGATCCAACCAACGACCATAACGAACTTCATTCTCAGCTGACACGGGTTTCCCAGAAAACAGTTTCGCTGCTTTTGTCTCAAGAGGATCAACTGGAGGAGCGGAAGCTTCCGGCAGTGACCATCCATCTCTCAACACTAGTCCTGAAAAACCAAAGAGACAAACTAGAAGAATCAGTGCTTTGAAAACCCAAGAAAAATCACGCACTACTCCCTCGCTTCTATCTGATCAAGCTGGAATAGCTGAAGCTCGGGGGAGTCACGTACGCCATCGAGACGCTCTCCCGCGACGCGGTGATGTCCACGATCGCCTCCGTCTGCACCGAGAAGTGGAACGTCATCGGCGGCTCCTCCACCTCGCGCTTCCCCTCGATCATCCGCACGACCTCGTCCATCGCCGGCCGGGATCCGGCGTTCTCCTGGATGCACCACAGCGCGATGTGGACGAGCCGCGTCGCCACCTTCTCGCTCGCGGAGCTCCGGACTTTGGGATCCACCACGCCCATCAAATTCCCCAGCCGGACCTCGTTCACCACCCACGCCGGGAAGTACCACGCCAGATCGATGTTCATCCTCGACACCTCCAAGTTCTTCCGCCCGCCAATGATCTCGAGAAGAACCATGCCGAAGCTGTAGACGTCGCATTTCTTGGTGGCGATGGAATGGAGCAGCCATTCCGGGGCCAAATATCCAGGCGTCCCTCGCACACACGTGATGACCTGGCTCACATCGTGGTCGTCCAATTGCTTGGACATTCCGAAATCCGCCACCTTTGCCACGAAGCGATCGTCGAGTAGGATATTCTGGGGCTTCACGTCCAGGTGGATAATAGGCTCGCTACACTCCTCGTGGAGATAGGCCAGGCCACGTGCCGTGCCCAGAGCGATCTCGATCCGGCGATCCCAGCCGAGCGTTCGGAGCTCCGGGGATCGATTCCCATCCCCAATTCCCTCCGCGCCGCCACCGCCGCCGCCACCGCCACCGCCACTACCGCCGCTGCTACCGCCGCCGCCAAACAGCCACCGATCCAGCGATCCATTGGGCATGAATTCGTAGACGAGCATGCGCTGCGAATCCTCGAGGCAAAATCCGCACAGCCGGACGACGTTCATGTGATTGATGCTCCCGATCGTCGCGACCTCGGCGATGAATTGCCGCGCGCCCTGCGTGCCAGTGCCCTCGAGCTTCTTCACCGCGACGTGCCGCCCATCGCCCAGGAATCCCTCGTACACCGATCCGAATCCCCCAGCTCCAAGCTTGCGGGAGAATCCCTTTGTCGCGGACTCGAGCGCCGAGTAGGAGAATCGCTGGGGCAGCCCGCGGACGCTCGAGAGCACCGCGTTTATGTCGCTGTCGGCCTTGTTCTTGCGGCGATTCCTCCACACCAGGACCGCCAGCACCGCTGCCAGGACGATCGCGGCGGCGGCGATGCCCGCCACAATCTCGACGACCCTGTTCTTGGATCCACCGCCCTCCTCCGGCGCGGCCACGGAGATCGGACCCATCAAGAGCTTGGCGTTCTGGAACTTGATGAAAGCGTCCACTGCCGGATCCTCGGCCATGCTCCCGATCAGCGCATCGCCCACGAAGAAGCACTCGCGGGATCGATCGTTGTAGAAGAGCGCCATGCACTGGCAATTGGAGAGGCAATCGGTGGAGCACTCCTGGAGCGAGGATCGCTTGCTGGGCGCCACGAATCCGGTGGAGAAGTAGCGGATCCCGGTAGCGTTGAGGAAGTGGTGATTGTAGATCTCGTTCTCGCAGACCATCGGCTGGGGGATACCTGTGCTTGGGGCCGAGCAAGCACCGCCGCTGCTAGCATTCCCGCCAAAGCTCTCGTTCCCCTTGCTGTGGATCTCCACGCATCGGCATTTCCCTCCGGCCTCGCAGATCCCATAGGGGCCGCAAGCCAGCGGCAGCTTGCACGGATCATCGCCCGAGAATCGCGAGTCGGGTAGCCAGTCCGAGGAGGATCGATCCAGGCCATAGACGACAAGGTCGCCGTTTGGATCCAGCCTAACAAACGGAAGAACGAGAGGATCGCTTCTCCTGGAAGCCAAGATCTCGAGAGATTTCCCGGCGCCGCAAGAATTGTGGCCGAGAATGAGATTGTTCCCGGAGAAGCCAAGAGCCGCCGGGCATGACGATGATAATCCTTCCAGCCTCCAGAGATTGTATGGCTGGGATCGCAGCGAGAGCGTGAGGGTTTCTTGTGAGACCGCCGCCGCGAAGAATCCCTGCGAGAACTGCGTCGCCGCGCTACCATTCCTGGCCGAGCTCGTGAGGCTCATCCCGGATTTGAGCGCTTGCCCGGGCAGCATCGTGTCGCCGGGGGAATCGAAGCTCTGCCATATCCTAGCGCCGCTCTCGTCGAAGAAGGCGAGATTTCCCGATTCCTCGAGCTCGATCCCTGCGATGCCGGTCACATCCAGCTTCCAAGTGAGCGATCCTTGAGAGTTGAGAAGGATGAACTTCTTGTGCGTCCCCGTGAGCATAAGGCTCGATCCATCGCCGGTGGAGCCGGTCCTGTTCGCGATCCACACCGGCACCGCCGCGCGCTCCTTGCCGCTGGCTCGCCCCTGCATCATCACGCACAGGAAGAAATCGCCGGTGGCATTGGGGTCGAAGAACGCGAGCGCAAACGTCCCGTTGTCGCTCACGAAATCCACGCTGCCATTGCCGAGGATCCGATACTTCCCTGGCCCGCTCGCGATCGAAACCTCGGTGAGATTCGCTACATTGTTGATGCGCTGCCCTGGCGCGAGATCATACTTCACGGCCTGCGAGAATCCCGTCGTCGCGACGATCGCAAGGAGGCGCCATAGAAGTAGCATTATCATCTTCTCATGGGCTCCGCTAGCTCCCTAGCGAGAGGATTTGAACTGGTGGACATTCCGCCACGTAAAGTAGACAATCTCCACCGTCGATCCAGACTTTTCCACCGTTGGATCTAATCTGGTGGATCAAATAATAAAAGTGCTGTCACCGTTGGATCTTTCGTCGTGGCAAACATGCACCGTTGGATCCAAACTGGCGATTCTGGGAATAATCAATGCCCTCGTTTAGGTTTTATGCGCCAAACAGGGGTGCGGTGCTGCATTTCCAGCGGTCAGTGTGCTGATCTTGACGCTTCCCAGAGGGAAAATCACGCAGTTTTACCTACATTGGCCGGCTCATTCATCCGCCCATTGATTGTGGCGCACAGTACTTCCAGCAAGAAAGAAAAAAGAAAGATCTGCGAGGAGCGTGACCGGTCCAGTGATCGCTGCCAGGCGCTGCTGGGCGATGGTTTTCTTCACATTGCTGGAAGGCGGGAAGAGAATGGGTGTTTTCTTGTGGCGATTTAATGCCGCTGCCGGGGATTTGCAAGGAATTTACTTTGCGCTTGAGACTGGAGGGGGATCCCTTTCGTTCTGGGCCTCTTCTTCTCTAGCAGTGGCTTGCTAGATTTGAGAGGAAGAGTTGGAGCATTCATTCTGCTCCAGGGCCTCCCTAAGATTCAATGACGCTGCTTCTCGTTTTGCTGGCCGGTTGCTACGCTCTCACATTCGCTGGCTCTCCAGGAGCGTCAGCGAAGGGAATGCAAGCAGTCACCCGCAGCGATGGAATTTGCAAGGAGCTCGTCGCTCCTCACGGTTTCCACTGCGAGGAGTTCATGGTAAGTTTGATTGGAATGGAAACTTTCCTTTCATTTCTCACATCTCTCACTCCTGTGTGTTGTGACTCTTCTTCTTCCAGATCCAAACTCAGGACGGATACCTTCTGGGACTGCAAAGAGTTTATCGCAAGATACAGAAGAGTGGTCGCACAGTTATCCTCTACCACGGCATTGACAATGTAAGTTCTTCCAGGAGAGGTTCTTGTTTCGTCGCTAAGTTTCTGGATCGAAGCATTGTAGGGTGGAGATATCTGGCTGCTGAATCCTCCGAGACAATCTTTGGCGCTCATGCTTGCGAATCGAGGGCACGAAGTCTGGATCCCAAACACGAGAACGAGCACGTATAGCTACGGCCATGTTTCGCTCAGCAAAGATGACAAGGTTCCTGGAAATCTTTTCTTATATGCTCTTTCTATGCCATAGCCTTTGCGTTCTTCCTTTTTACTGGCTTCCTGAAAAGCAATTCTTCTTTTTCCACAGATGTATTGGGACTGGAGCTTGGACGAGCTCGTGAATTACGATCTCCCAGCAGTGGTGGAGCAAGTTACTGCCAAAAGTGCGACGCAAAAAGTTGACTTTGTTGCGTATTCCCAGGTAAGTTTCTTTTTTCAAGGGTGATTGTTTCGTGAGATCTGGCTGGATTTCAGTCTTCTCAAGCGTTGTTGGGAGCATTCTCCGAGGGCAAATTGGTGGATCAAATCTCCAAGGCAGTGATGATAGCTCCTGTGGCTTATGTCTCGCACACAACCAGTCCAATTGCTCTCATAGCTACCAGGTTTAATCTTGGTCTAGTTCTCGTCGGCCTCAACATCTACGAATTCAATCCCAGATCGTAAGCAACTCGAGCTAAAATTCTCTATTTTCACTAGCTGGGGTCTCCGACTTACAGGACGTCTGGAGCAAAGATCCTGGAAACTCTGTGCGTCACGGTCAACATTTGCGAGAGTGACATTCTATCACTGATAACAGGTCTGTGGAGAGCATGTTTTTGTTTCTTAAAAAAATAAAGCTTGGATCTCTCAAAGGCCCCAATTGCTGCGTTGACGACACGAGGATGGAATTTATAAACAAATACGAGCTCCAGTCGACCTCTGTCAAGAATTGGAACCATCTGGGACAGCGTAAGCCAAAAAAAAACTCATTTTTTCTAGAAAACAGTGTAATGCTGGTCGATCGTTTGCTCCTCCAGTGTTCCAAAAGAAAAGCTTCACCAAATTCGACTATGGCGAGAAGGAGAACCAGGAGCGCTATGGCACGAAAGGAGTGCCAGAGTACGTGCCCTCGAGAATTCCCACGGAGATCCCGATGATGCTCATCCACGGCGGGAAAGATGCTCTGGCCGATCCAGACGACGTCCACAGGCTCTTGGGCGAGCTCAAACAAACTCCAGAAAAGGTCCTCTTCTTGCCACACTACGCCCACTTTGACTTTGTTCTTGGGACAAACGCGAGCAAAGACGTCTACGAGGGCATCGTCAACTTCTTGGAATCGTGAAGGGTTGACCAGGACGTGGACTTGTTGACTAGAGTGTTGACTGTATTAGTCAACTTGCTGCTTAAGACGCTTATCATAATAATGTCGATGTAGTATAGTGGTGAGTATTTCCGCCTGTCACGCGGACGACCCGGGTTCGATCCCCGGCATCGGCTGCTTTTGGGCGGAGCGATGTTTTTCCTTTCACGAGAGATGGGTGATCGCAATGGAACAAGAATAAGAATGTTCTTCACACTCTTTTCTCGATTGCGAGGACTTGGATTGCGAGGATGGCGATGGCGAGAGCTGGGATTTTGATGGTTTTCTCGCTGGTGTTGGTATCCAAAGCCTGCGGTGACTGCCGGCTCACAGACATCTGGAGCTGCGTTCCAGCTGTGACCAAGCGGGTTGATCCAACCAGCGATTGCTGCAATCTCATCCAAGTGATAAGCCTCAATTGCCTGTGCTCCGCAGCGATCGGGCGAGACGCCGCTGCGCGAGGCGTGGATGTGCGGCGAGCCGTGGAGCTGCCGCTCAAATGCGGGCGAGAGGTCGGATTGGAATACACCTGCGCAGGTGAGAGAGAGATGACTCAATCGTGTGATCGATCGATCGGTGTTTGCTTTGCTTGTTCTCCAGGAATCCCGTTCAATGGCGGGAGAGAGCCCCGTGTACGGTAGAACTTTTTTTTCAGTGTTCTTTTACTTTACACAGTAATCTCAATCGCTATCGATCGAGCAATCCTTTACGAGTTGAAGAACTCCACGACTTTGGGGTAGACGAGATCTTTGGCGTTGTATGACACCACGAAGTCGAGATGCGCGTAGTCTGGGAGGAAGACGAGGTCGGGCTTGGATTGAAGCTCGGAGACGAGCTGCGCGACGTTTTGTGGAGCGGCGAGAGCGTCCTTGGCCGCGTAGAAGAAGAGGAACGGGATTGTTCTTGGGATGTTGGGAAGCGAGTACGTCGGGGGAGAGATCCAGCCGTAGCGGACGAGGTTTTGCCAGAATCCATAGTCGAACTTGTCGAAGCTCTTGCCTCGGAACTCTAGAAGTTTGTAGGAATCTCGTGAGCACAGCGAAGTTGGCGAGAGAAAGAAAAGCGGGCTTACGTTGCGCGAGATGGCCAAAGTTCTTTGCAGATGTTGATTGAGGCTCGTAAATTTCGTAGTACGCTCGGCGTGTGTCATTGATGCAGCAATTTGGACCTGCGTGAATCAGAGTTCTTGGTGAAAGATGGCGACCTTTGATTCGAAATCGATCGAGAGAACGGACAACGTACCTGCGAGAAGCGTGACAAAGTTTTCGGTGCATTCTGGATCATCCGAGAGCTTGCAAAGGTACTCAGTCACAGGTTTGTTCTGACTGGAAAGAACAAAAAGAAGAAAAAGAGACAAAGTAAGAAAGATCCAGACACACATGAAAAGACACAGAGGACACGTACGCTCGGAGGCTGAATTCGTAGATGCCGAGCGATGCAATGAGCTACAAAAAATTGGAAGAACATGAGAAAAAGTAGTGAAAGAACAGAGAAGAAAAAACACTATACCAGATCGAGATGAGTTTGAGCTCCAAGAGTGAGAAGCGAGGTTGCGTGATCAACATAAGCAACTGGAGCAAGCATCACAGCTTTTTCCACAATGTCAACGAGCCTGTGCTCGGAGAACGCTGCGAATGCCGCTTGAGTTCCCTGCTCAATAGAAAAAAACAAAAAAAGCCTGTAAGTCTCAAGAAAGACTAAAATTCTCTGAGCTCGATCGAAGCAGACACGAACAGAGCTCAAGAAAATCCTGAGAGAGAAAAGAGCAAAACGAGAGAAAAGAAATCATTTCGATCGAAGAAGGCACGAATAGAGCTCAAGAAACTAGAAAATCCTGAGAAAAAAATTCCCATACCTGTGAGTAGCCAACGTACAAGACCTTGCTGTTCGTTCTCGCGTAAACCATCTCCAGCATTGCCTGGAGATCATACGCCGAGAGCTCGTCCACGCTCCAATCCCAAAATTCCTATCAAAGAAGAAGAAGATCATGCCGGTGGAAGACTTTGGATGATCTTACCCTGTCCGATCTGCTGTAAGAGACATGGCCATAGCTGAATTCGCTGGTTCTCACATTGGCGATCCAAACGTCGTGACCAGCGTCGGCGAGAATGAACGCCAGAGACTCCGGAGGCGCATTGAGCACCCAAATATCCCCGCCCTAAAAAATGGAGGAGAGATTTAAGGGGAAAACGAAGAACCCTAAAAACTCTGTTCTTACAATGAGAATGCCATGGTTGAGGAACACTGGCTTCTTTCGCTCGCCAATGTAGCTCGCGCTCCACACTCTTTGCACGCCCAGAAGGAACCCATCCTTCGTCTCGACCTACATCGCCACCATCGATGATCCATGGATGAGAGAAACCCTCGAGAGAAATGGGATTCTTACAGCCAATTCCTCGCATTGGTATCCGTAAGGCTGGACGAGCTTCACGCAGAGACCGTCTGCGCGATTCAATCCTCCCCGGAATGTGGGCAGCGCGCGAGAGAATTGGATCTTCCAGCAGCAGAGGAGGACTGACAGCACGATGATTGGCGAGCTCATCTGGAAGAACAGGGGAAAGAATCTTTTCTTTCTCCCTCGGAATGAATCCACTCGAGAGAAAAACACGAGAACTCGCTCTCTTCCGGCGAAGATTGGTCCCTCCCTGGATCAATTAATGCCGCCGCTACTGGCAGAGCGAAAGGAAAGAATCGAGAGAAAATCTCTCGAAAAGCTCTGGATTGTACAAAGCCGTGCCAGTGCTGCCAGTGCCACCAGGGGAGGAAGAAAGAAAGCCAAACACTCACACGCGAATGTTTCTCTTTCTCGCTTTCCCCTAGCAGCGCAACAAATCGCTCGCTCGCGAAAAACTCCGCGAGAGAGAGAGAGAGAGAGAGAGAGAGGAAAAATTTCTACTAACGAAAATCTCGCTCGCATCCACAAATCAGGGCTCGATCGCGCGAGGAGAGTAAGAGTTTGGTGGAAAGACAAGCAAACTTTGAGGTGGTGGTAGTACCATGGATCAATGCACTCTCGCACATCGCATTCCAATTACTACAGCGCTTTCTTTGTGGCACTGCGTTAGGTGGTAGAGCATTGATGGAAGAACCCTAAAAACAGGGGATGGAGCCTAGAAGCAGGGGAGGGAGGGAGGGAATTCTGTCCTGCCAGGCCTTTTTAATACCAATCCGCGTCGAATCCTGGCCGGAGTAGCATCAAAAAGTGTGCCCACGACCGGAATTCCAAGAACCATGCTGGAATTCAAGAACTATTTCCCCGGATTCCTCCCTGAGCGCTTTGATCTCGCGGGAATGGGTCTCCAAAGAGGAATCGGGGCTACCAGGATGCGTAGCTGCTCGCAAGCAGCACATAGGAAGCTGGATCGTCGGCCTCGATGACGTTCCTGCCCGCAAATTTCCCTCCAGGCTCGTGGATCTTGCTTGCGCTCATCAATGCCGCCCACGCCACGCCATTGGGTTGATCCGGCATCCCCTCCGCGAGCTCCCGCGCGGTCGCCATCCTCCCAGCCCTCCCAAATCCATCGATCAAGCACACATAGTGCTCCCTGGACGCCTCCAATCCATAGTCGCGAGCCATGGACGCCGCGAATTCCCAGCTCTCCTCGACCGATCCCGTCCGGCTGCACGCCGAGAGGAGAATCACGAAGCAAATCTCGTTGGGTCTCACTCCCTCCATCGCCATTTCCTGGAACATCGCGATCGCGGCCAGCAATCGACCCGACTGGGCATAGCCGGCGATCATCGCCGCCCAGGACACGACATTCCGGACAGGCATCGCGCCGAATAGCCGCCGGGCCATGCGCAGCAGTCCGTACTGAGAATATGCCGCGAGAATCGCCGTCCACGAGACGACGGTTCGATCCGGGATGGCATCAAACGCTCGCTTTGCCCCGAGCAGATCCCCGTTCTGGGCATATCCCGCCACCATGGTGTTATAAGTGGCATAGCTCTTCTCCACCATGGTGGCAACCAGCCTCTCCGCGTCCTCCATCTGGCCGCTCCGTGTATATACTTGCACCATGGTGTTTTGTGCTACCACGTCGTACACCGGCATCTCGTCAAACAGTACCTTCACATCTTCCAAATGCCCAGCTTGGGCATATGCTGCTAGTATGGTTGTGTAGGAACGAATGTTCCATTCTGGCATATTCTGGAATATTATGCTACCCTCATCGTTCCTGTGCGCTACTAGATATGCTTCTAAGAGAGTGTTATAAGAAATAAGATCCCACAAAGGCATTCTTTGGAAGAGATCATTCGCGCCATCGCAATGCCTTGTTCGGGCAAATGCTGCGATCAAAGTGTTCCATGAAACAACGTCTTTCTCTGGAATAGAATCGAAGATCTCCTTCGCCTCGGTGGATCTCCCGGAGTTTCCATAGGCCTGAAGCATCGAATTCCACGAAATCACGTCCCTCTCGCCCATGGAATCGAACAAGAGCTTGGCATTGTCGACATAGCCATGGCGAACAAACACCGCGATCATGATGTTCCAGGAGAAGAGATTGGGCGATTCGATCGCGGCAAAGGTCGCACAGGCATCCTCGAGCGCGCCACACTGGCTATACGTTTCAATCAAGAGATTGCTGAGGTATCTAGAGCTGCTTGCTTCGCTCGATCGGATCGATGCGTGGATCTGCCTTAGGGCAGCCAGATCTCTCGCGCGCCCACAAGATTGGACAAGCGCTGCGAGATTGTCCTCGAAACTCCTAGCCAAGTTTCGTGCCATCTTTGATAATTCAAAAAAAAAAAGATACCCGTGAATATTCTCGGTGCTGAAGAGATTAGGGTTAGGGTTCTTGAGGGGATTGGAGACGGCAGAAAATCGATCGATGGCAGCGCTTCTGGGGATCGGCCGCAGGCTCGGGCTGGCGCCATCGGCGTCTAGATTTGGATCCACAGCAGGTTCTCAAGCGCGGTTTTACGCCAAGTCAAGCTACGCCGAGGAGCACAAGGGTGGGATGGGCGACAAGCTCATCAACGGTGCCATTTTCGGATTGATGGGCGTGATGTCGGTCTTGGTGGTGAATTTCTGGCGGCATCCTCCCCACGCCGCTCACGAACACCACGAGGATTAGCGAGAAGTCAAATCTTTTGGGGGTCCGCCAAGGATCACTCCAATTTTTCATAAAGGATGTGCTTGCTCGCGGGAGGTAATGCTTGTTACTTGGCTTGATTCGTGGAGAAGAACTACTTACCAGACAAAGCTTCTTTATTTTTTTTTTTCGTAATAAAAGGTGTTTAGTTGAAACTTTCGCGTCAGCACAGGAACTTAGAACACTCTTCCGCGCTGACCAGCAAAATATTCTCTGGGTTTGTCTGTCCCATTGGTTGAAAGTTGCCATGGATTTTGTTCTAACGCTTGTTGACTGCAGTCCCTCGCGATTAAAGTCGCGTTGTTGGTGAGCGTACGCCGGTGAAACAAGAATTTCTCCGCGCAATCGCTGTGACTCATCGCCACTTTCACTCGTATATATAGAACAAGTTCCTCACTTGCTGGCAACATTACAGCGCTTCTCGAGTTCGTTCTTCAAGGAGCTTCAGTCCAGTTCTCTTTCGGAAGAGTTCTTTTCTTGAAGTTTCTTTCGAGAATGACGATGATGGATGCAGTAATGAGCTCGGGTCGATTAATCAACACGCAGTCGTGGCCGATAGGCGATGTTGGCGACGCTCGGCGAGCTCGTCCCACGTCCTGGAGGACGACAACGCGTGCGGTGAATGGAAACGCTGTCTTGGCTCCCGAGAGATTTCCTGGCTCTGGCTCGCTGCTCGAGCGCTCGAGCTACTGCCCTCGAAGGAACGTGGAGAGTTTCAGTATCAGAAGCTACGAAGTGGGAGAAAATCGCAAAATTTCAATTGCAACTCTTGCTAATCTTCTCCAGGTACGTGATGTTCTCTTTTCCTGTTGCGTTGTTTCTTGGTGATCACACTTTGCATTTTTATGCAGGAGGTGGCTTGCAATCACGCTCGTAATAACGGCTTCTCTGTGGACGGCTTCGCGACCACTCTGTCAATGAGGAAGTATGGATTGATATGGGTTATCACACGGATCCACATAGAAGTCGAGGAGTATCCTAAATGGTACTAGAACTTTGATCAATACCGCTGCTCTTTGTGCTCAAAAGCTGATCGATTTTTTTCCTTGTTCAGGGGAGACAACATCGAGATTGATTCATGGTTCCAGTTCCAAGGCAAAAACGGTACTAGACGGGACTGGAGAGTGACAAACACGAGAACCGGAAAAGTGATCGCAAGAGCTACGAGGTAAGTTCTTTCAAGTCTAAAAGAAACTTAGCCAGAAAGATTTTTAAAAAACAATTTCTTGCAGCACTTTCGCTCTGATGAACGAGCAGACTCGTCGCTTGGCTCGAATCAATGACGACGTTCGGAACGAGTTTTGCCTTTACGTCTTGCATCCGCCAAGGTGAAGAAAAAAACAATTTTTTGAAGAGATCTCGTGATAAATAAGATCTGTTTAATTGTAGTTGGGTTTTCGTGGACGACGCTGTCACCAAGAAGCCAATCTCCAAGCTCAGCGAGTACCAGCACGTCAAAGAGAACTTAAAAGTAAGTATCACAATTCGTCTTGAAAAGTTTGTGTCCCTAGATTCATTGTGTTTTCCTCTTTGCAGCCCTCTCTTGCGGACTTAGACATGAACCAACACGTAAACAACGCAACTTACATGAACTGGATACTCGAGGCAAGTTCATTTCACTCGATCCAATCTCCAGACAACAGAACTAATCTAATCTTCTCTTTTTCAGAGCTTGCCCCGGGAAGTTCACACCAAGAACGAGCTCAACTCAATGACACTCGAGTTTAGATGCGAGTGCAAACGAGAAAACACGATCAATGCCTGTTCCAGCCTCGAGATCGATGACAAGAACGACGAATCAAGCTCCACTTTCACGCACCTCTTATATCTGGTTGGTAGCGACAAAGAAGTGAGCAGGAGTCGAACAACGTGGAGAAAACCAAGCTTTTAGAAAATTGATAAATTCTTGTTCAGTTCAGTTGAAGAATTTTGGTCAGGCAGGGCTTTAGCAAAATCCTCATTGAAGACTAGATATTTGGGTTATTCGAAAGACAGGCTATACTAGCAAGTGCAAGACTATCCTAAACCAGCAAGAGTAAAATCAAGTATCCAATAGTTCTTAAGTTTAATATATATTTTTATTATTTTATTTACATTTATAAATTATTTTCTTCAAAAGAATATTGATTTCACTTTGTGAGTGTATGGAATATGGAAAGGGAATACAAGAAATATATATATCTAACTTATATAGAAGAGTGAGTAGTTTGGATTGAAACCAATCTGACATTTACCAAAATCCTATTATGATAATATACTATAACATCATAATTGTACACTTAGACTTTATATCATCCCCTCATCTCAGAATGATGGAAGCCCGTCATGGTTCTTTCATGAATGGGCCAGAACATTAGGGGGAGGCATTAGTGGATTTATAGATGGTGCTAATTATTCTTAATCCCTTTGTACGAAACATTTTAGCTGCTGCACATACACAATTTTTGGAGGATCTGCTTGTTGAACGTCATGCCGAACCTCATAAACTTGTAGTCCAACTTACCACAACACTCAATATAGTCCTTTCCACTGAGTAAGAAGCCCTTTAGATAAACCACATATCGTAAAATAGGGAAAACAAATTAACACCAAGTCATCCACTTTCTACTTTGCAAGTGGATGATGATGGGAATTGTAGTGCCATTATTGTCCCACTTGCATGCGGCAAGGTGTTTAGTAAATTTTGTTCTGACAAGATGCTTGTCAAATATTGATCCCACAACCTAGCATCACTTGCCCACGGCAATTATAAAAGTAAACCCAACTCCGTTGGCAATATTGGATCATGACCATATAATAGTTTGGTGAAACATCAATAAAACTTTACACTTCTATAACATACATATACCGAAGAGATGGCAAATAACCATCCTAATTCGAATGCTAAAAGTTCACATACTTCGCGATCATCCTTTTAAAGGTCCAAATGAGCCGTTCCACCAAACTATATAACTATAGATGATAAGCACTTGTGAAAGTGTGGCGTATCCCCAACCAAGGCGTCAAAACGTGAAATGCCTCAGCCATAAATGTAGGACCATTATTTAAAAAAATCTGCTTCAAACAGAAATGTTGGAACACCACTCTATTGAGGAGGAAGTATCTAACAGCAGTTATAGATGCATTAGCAAAATCACTAACTTCCACCCAACAAGTCAAGTAGTCAGAAGCAATAATATTATACTCATTGCCAGCAGTTAATCATGAAAAATGCCCCATTAAATCAAATGCCATCAACTCAAAAGGACAGGTAACTGCAATTTACTCCAACCGCCTTTCCGCAACACGAGGGGGAGTATTACAAGCTTGGCACCAAACGCAATTATACATATACCAATTAACATCATAATGCATCTCTAGCTAATAGAAATATTTGAGTAGCTTTTCGATCACACAATGATGTCCCATATGCCCCCCTAGAATAGGAGAATCATGGTAGGCATGAAAAAACGTGGAATAAAGATCGAAGGCACCACTAGCCGTAAACGATTATCAAGATCTATCCCCACAAAAATAAATAAAGTTGTCCTCAAGGCGATATTGAGAATGTAAATGCCAGAATGGCAAATCATCAATAAATGATGCAAAATTCTTAAACAAATCTCGAAGCTTTCGAATCCATGGCTCAATATTTTGAGCTTCGCGAGCCTCATCAAGAGAAGGTAGACTTTGTTTTACACCTTGTGGACACTGAACATCAAGTACAGCAACCGCCGATGGCACAGAATCCTTGTCTAGAAAATCCACAAATGCTAGAATAACATGTTCATCAAAAACATAAGAAGAGAGCGAAGAAGGAAGAGGAGCTTGAGAAAGGGTATCGACATCAGCTATAAAACTCCCCGAGTGATAAACAACATTAAAACCATATATTTGAAGTTTCAAAGCCACTAAGTAATATGACTAACTAGGTTCTTCCGCTTTAATAATGAAGTAATAGCAGTATAATCACTTTCTAGTAACATTTGAAAACTATATAGATATGCATGAAATTTCTCGAAACCCCAGACCATTGCTAAAGACTCCTTCTTTGTTGTGGAGTAATTCACCTCCGCTAGTTGTAATATATAGCTTATATATAAAATAGGATGGCATTGACTAAGCACACTCAGGCTCTTTTGCATCAGCACACATTCAAAACCAATATTAAAAGCATCTACGTGCAAAATAAAAGGTCAAGTGGGGAGTCGTCAATAGCTTTTTGAGATCCATGAATGCCCCTTCACAATCTACAAACTAAATGAAAGATGACTTTGATGATTTCAACAATGCTCGGAACGATGCAGTGTAATCAAAAAGATGATCCACAAAACAACTGAGATACTGCACTTTGCTCAGGAAGTGTTACACATCATTCATACACTTTAAAGTAGGGAACTTTAGAACAGCTATAAATTTGTCAAGATTAACTTGCAAACCCTCATGAGAAATATGGTACCCAAGATAAAATAAAATACGACATATTCCTCCTACATCCCCTCCGAGAGGATCAAGACATCATCAATAAAATCAATAGTCACCTCCGACATATCATAAAAAACCTTGTCCATCATCTGTTGAAAAGTTGTTACAACATTATTTAAACCAAATGGCATTACCAAGAACTTGTACAAACCAAACAGTGTACGAAAAG